GGGGTGAATTCGGGGTTGAAGGGGAAGGCTGCAGGTTCGATCTGCAGAGAAGGTATGAAGAGTCAGAGCAGCGGCCAGGTACTGTTCACAGGATAAAAGCTGGAGGCTGTAAAGAGAGATGGAAGGGCACAACATCTACAGTACATCTACTGGTTCAGAAGCCATCAGAGAGAGAAAGACAGGATGGCTGGAGGCTGGAGGGGGAGGGGGGTTCTTGGATACAGGGTGAGGGGACCGGGGAAACAAAGCCGATAGTCTCACTCACGGTAGAACACATATTCAGTGTAGCTGGTCCAGATCTTGTCGTCCGTCTGCTCGTGGGCAAAGGCGCAGGTTCCTGTGGAATTGCAGGCCACCATGTGAAAGCCTGCATCTGCCAGCTTGTCAAAAGCCTGCTCCAGGAAGGTGAACTTGAGATAGTAGCGGGATGTATAGCGCTCAGGGGGGCGATCCGGGTCCCGGCTCTCGTTCAGCGTTTCCCCAAACACCTCTTTAGCCAGGGAGGTCTTCCCACACACCATGATCCGTGCCACTCGGCGAAATTTGGCATCCGTGTGGCTGTCGCGCCCCAAGGTGTAGGAGCCTCGGTAGCCAATAGTGATGAACCCAGAACGTTTGCCATCCATGGCGCCGGGCACCAGGCTGGCACAGGCAGCAGCAGCAGCACCCAGAGAGCCGAGGTTACGGGAGGTGTCAGTCCCAGGTGAGGAGTCCTCTGTGTCACTAGGACATCCCTCATCACCAAGGGAGTTCTGTTTGCTGATTTTGGGTGCCAGAAGCCTGACGAGCTCTGGCAGGTTGAAGAACTCAGCCTCTCTCTGCAAACGACCGCGCTCTGGGAAGTGGTCTGGAAGGACCAGCTGCTGGTCACGCATGTAGTCCAGGATGTAACGAAACAGGAAACCATCACGGTCTACAAAGAAGCGCCCCTTTGTGTCCCTGGCCAGTCCTTTGGCTGACTTTTGAGTAAACATCTCCCACAGCAGAGAGTCTGGCACGCTTGTGAGTGTAGAGTAGCGGGTTATGTACACCTGCCCACCGACATTGAGCTCTATGATCTCTGGAAAGGGTATCTCCTCTGCAGATATGCCACTATCTGGCAAAGCCATGTTCGCCTCCTGCCACGCTCGTCCACTTAGATGCAACTTTGTTTTACTTGTTTTAACTTGTTTTAGTTATAGTTCAAATCGGGATCAGCACTGGAACTGTTTCCAAGCCTTTCACGGCCAATGGTGTGGGCTGCTTGACTGCCAAATTTCAGGTCCTGTGCTATTGGAGCGCTGCACTATTTGTCAGCGCGTAAAAATAAGAAAAAAAGCTCGCATAAATGCTTTAAGCTGCCACACTGCTTCTAATCTAACTACAGCTTTTTCATTTACTTACTAAAACATAGCGCAGGGATTCAGGAAGCGGTGACTGGAGCCGTTGTGTCCATGTCCTTTACGCGCAGGTAGACGTGTAGCTTGAGCATGAAATTCTGCTTTCCGTACCAGCTCTCTGGCCAGAAAATGCACCATTTGCACAACTACTCATTACGACTTCTCTTCGTCTAATCTCGTTTGGGTGTCCTGGCGCAAACAGGATCAGAACTTCAACAATGCGTTTTATAGCAGTCCGGCTCTAAAGGTTCTATTGTTGTTAAAATCCACGCGAAGAAGACGAAGTTCCAAATGTAGTGAGAGGCTATGACAGTTATTAAAAAGATCTCATTCGTCTCCATCCCTTTACGCGCACTGGTTAGCTGCTCAGACTCTCCGCTCCGGTGTCGTCTCGTGCCAAACTGTAACTTAACTGCATCGTAACGGTGGACACGGCGTTTATCTCTTACGCTTAACCACGCCCCACGGTGACGCGCCTCTGCCGTGATTCAGCTCAAAAACACCCAGTCTTCCAAGAACAAGCCGACAGCACCTTTCCGTGATTCTCCCAGTGGAGTCGCGGTTATGATTGTGCGATTTGACTCCAAGTTGTCCCATAATGGTCTATTAATGGGTCGGTTTTTATCAGTGAGCTAGACCTGACTAAACAGCCATCTAAACGCCAAACTGCACCACTGCCCGAACCTTATATTTGCCAGGGTCACATTCAAACCCTCGCGCTTTCTTAGAAAATTCTTATATTGTTTGATGCCATAATTTTTGGCACCGCTCGCAGTGATCAGTGTGGTCACTTTGCGCGAGAGGGGTGGGATAACAGCGACATCTAGTGAGCACTCTAAAAGAAACAGTTTCCCTAAACACTGATAACAACTTAAATTCTGATTATAAAGATATAAAGGGTTGTTATTGGAGATAGTGCGCTGTAGTCTAAATACCTTTTCACTCAGAAATCTGCACATTTGAACCTCGCTGTGCACAATGATTTACAAGCACAGTTTGGCTCACTGTTGCTCTTCTGCAAGGTGGAAAGCTTCTCTGTGCTCAGCTGAGATCTGAGTTACTGTGATGTGACCATGCGGCTTGCACGGCTATGAAACTGAAACTAGAACCCACCAGCAGCCCATATCACACAGGGTTTTACTAAAGTAAGACACAGAGTGCATGGTCACAAATAGATGTGGTATTTACTGAATCATCTATTTTATAGTGTAAAGGCATGCATCTATACAATATCACAAGTGCATTTTGCAGGTTTTAAAACTCTGAGATAGTATCCAGCTGTTCCCTGGGTGAGAATGCCTTGTTGAGGCCAGATGTCAGAGAGAATATCTAGACTGTTTTGAGCTGATAGAAAGCCATAAGTAGCTCCTCCGCATACAGTGTTGCAACCAACGTATGCAGAAGAGCATCTCTGAACACAGAACATGTGCACCACACCGAGTGCCACTTCTGTCAGTTAAGAACAGGAAACTTGAAGCTATAGGTTGCTCACCAGAATTGGACAACAGAAGACTTGCTTGCTCTGATGAATCTCAAATTTTGCAAACTCAGATGGAAGGGTCAGAATTAGGTTTAAACAACATGAAAATACAAATCCATACTGACATGCATCAATGTTTAAGGCTGCTGCTGGTGGTGGTGGTGGGGTAATGGTGTGAGGGATGTTTCCCTGCACACTGGTCCACTGTGTGCACTTGGTTCCAGCTGAGCATCATTTATCATCATTTTGAAGCGCCTTGAGTCAACTTTTGTTGTGATTTGGCGCTATATAAATAAAATTGAATTGAATTGAATTAAAAACCAAAATCTGCCTGAGCATTGCTGCTGATATCCATCTCTTTGTGGCCAGAGTGTACCGCTCTTCTGATGGCTGCTTCTAGCAGAATAACACACCATATTAAAAAGCCCAGATCAACCTTTCCTTTTATTGAACCAGTGAGAAAATGTTGCATTCAAAGAATTGACCCTTAGCTTTCTGGTATGTTGAAATTATCCCACTGCACAGACTAGACTGTTATGGGGCTTCATCGTCATTAAAGTCACGTAGAAAAAAAATGTCATCTGAAATTATAATTGCACTTCCCAGCTTTTAAACATATTTCTTACTGAGTAATCACCAAAGTTTAAAGACGCCAGTAGGTAGCACAGACTCGTGTAGTCAACAGGCTACCTAATCTCTCTCCCTGTCTTTTCAATTTCGGCTGTGTCCACCACACAGACCCTTCACTGACAAATAAGCAGTCCAATTTTGCCTCTTTCCAAGCAATCTGGCAGTAATTTCCCCGAGGGCCTTTGGTCTCCAGCTGGCTTTCTGCGCAGCAGCCTCACGCAACAGTCTGGATTGGACAACTCTTGTTATGTGGGCCACCACAGGATATGGAGGTAATGTGGCAGTGCTGTCTGCCAATGAAATGAGTTGATGGAGCGGTCCCGGCTCCATTTGCTGTTCATCTTCACTGAAATATGCAACAGCAATATGCTGCCTAACACCAGAGTCCTGTGGAGTCCAGACTAAATTATATCCAACATAAAACGCTCCAGTGCAGAACCACATCTAAATATTTGGAGTTATTAACTCCTACTGAACCATGCCAGTGACTGAAAATGACTCTGTTAATATAAATACAGTATTTGTGCATGAATCAGAACCTTTCCCCCCCTTCCTTGTACTGCCCATTTCATCATTCCAATCACATCTATGCAACAGACATCTACACTGATCCTGAAAACTAGGAACAAAAATGACTACATCAAATAAATTAGTTTGACCTTCTGCGACGGTTGGATTATCTGTGTACGTCTGTCAATTCTCATAACACTGATGGCCGTCTGAGGCTGTTAGGTGTACTCTGCGTGTGTTTGATGCTCCGCTGATTTAAAATGGGCAGAGCAGTGGCTCACACACCCATGGGAGAGTGAGGCAGAGGATAAGCGTACTTAGGCGGGAAAGGGAAAAATGTGCTTACTGTTGCTCAAAAAGTACGAATTCAGAATTTAAAAAAAAAAAAAAAACCCAACTCGACAGGCTCCTCATGCTGAATTGGCAGACGATGTGATGCCGTGACAAAAGAACAGTTAACTCAGGGAGGATTTGTCTGCATATTGATCTCTGCATCCTCAGCAGTTTCTGCTGACAGCCGCACCTGTGAGTGATTTATGAGATATTTTGTGGATTTCACCAAAGTGGTCAAGCTGTTGCCTCCATTTCGCTTATGTGTTTGTTGTGGCGGCGTACCCTCATTTCCCTCACTAAGAAGCATCATCGATCCTTCACGACAGGGGATATGTGTTCAACACACGTCACAGAGATTTTTTATGTATTAATAAACGTTATCGTTCAGCTAAGCAAGTAAATCGTCTGTGGTACTCCATAAAGCCTGAAGATGCTTTTGTTTGCTTAATAATGAGACCATTGAATAATGACTCAGGGCTGACAGCAATCACTCTGATAGCTACACAACACTATAATTAAATCAAAGTGGATATTTAATCAGGAAAGTCAACTCCCTTCAGCCACCCTCGCACAACCTTCCCAAACTTTTTTATTGAATCAGTTTGTTCCTGAGTCGCTCCTTTTCCCTCTTTTAGTGGATAGTTTAGTAAAAAAAAATTTCAAATGAGGCGGTTTCCCCTTTCTCTCCCAAAACAAATGAAATCTTCTCACTTAAATATTAATGTCTTTGATGAATGGGGTTCAACATTCACCACTATTCATTACAGATCTTTCCCTTCCCAAATCCTCCTAATTCTGACCTCAAAAATGTAAAAAAAAAGAAAAGAAAAAAAAGAAAAAGAGACATAATCCTTTGTTATAGTTGGATGTATAAAGAACTACATTCAGCAACCAGGAGAATAAGGGGTACCTGCAGAAGAATAGGTGCATCTATCCTGCTGCTTGCTTCGAGCAAGAGTAACTCCAATAACCACTCTTAATAACTAAGTTATGCAAAAGAGCATCTATGAATCTATAACACATAAAACCAGATGAGTTGCAGCAGTAGAAGACCACAGCTTGTGTCACTCCTGACAGCTAAAAACAGGAAACTGAACCTACAGATCAAATGTGCTCCCCAAAACTGGACAACAGAAGATTTGAAAAACGCTCCCTGGTCTGATAGTAGGGTCAGAATTTGGCAGCATCACAACATGAAAGCATGAATCCATACTGCCATCAAAGGTTGTGGTGTAATGGTGTGATGGATATTTTTCGCACACTTTGGGCTCTCAGTCCTAGCTGAACATCATTTATATCCCACAGCCTGCCTGAGTACTGTTGCTGACCAGGTCTATCCCTTTGTGACCACAGTGCACCCATCATCTGATGGCTGCTTTTAGCAGGTTAACCATGTCACAAAACTCAAATCATCTCAAACTGGTTTCTTGAACACAACGAGTTCAATGTAGTCGAACGGCCTCCACAGTCACTAAATCAATCCAACAGAGCTCATATGGCATGTGGTGGAACAGGAGATTCACATTGACACGTGTCAGTATGGACCAAAATATTAGGGAATCCATGCCAAAAAGAATTAAGGCAACTCTAAATGTAAATGGGGATTTAACCCAGTGCAAGGAATGTGTACCTAATAAAGTGGCCAGTGACTGCATGTGGTGTTTGATCCAAAGTGAAGGGGTTTTTCTTTTCGTCAGTCCTGCTTTCAGGTAGATCTGCAAGCAACTTGCAAACAATATACCCTTTTGGGAGCACCACAATGGGAAAAGCAACAATGTAATGACATTAATGGTGGGTGAATTCAATGTAGCTGTTTTAGGTTCAAGGCCTCGCTGTTGTGCACATAGGCTCACTCTTAAACCTTTTATTTCTATTATGACAAGAAAGCTTCTTTGAAAAATTAGACTATTACAGTCTGTCTAACTTTCAGGCACGTATAATAACAGTAAATTGCTGTAATAATAAAACTGCACTAGGACCATTAGTTTTGTTTTTTTATTTCAGCGCACAAAACCTGTTTTGTGACCCACACATGATGTAGATATAAGCAGACTGTTAGGCGACGAGTTCATAAAACAAGCTAAAATTCGCTTCTGTGGTTCTATCCTGCTGGGGAAGACTATTTCAGATTCACCTCATGTTTGAGGATTGTGCAACTGCGCCGGGTAGTTTTCCCCACACTGTTGTCTCAGCCTTGCACAAAGCCAACAAGGCTATGATCGCTCTTTGAAGCATCTCAGCTTGTACAGTATGTATCAGATCTACTTGCCAAGTTAAAGAGGCTCTTGAAGTTGCAGGATCCCGACGTAGTAGTTAAAAAAAAAAACAACTAAATAAAGCAGCCTGGCCAAAGGGAGCTCAGGTTTCTCTTCAGCTTCTCTGTGCTGACACAAGTGGAAAAATATACATTCTGGGAGAGTGCGGTGCTGCTCTGCCTTCTCACAGTAAATCCTACATTTAAGCACAATTATGTGGGATGACGAGCTCGTGAAGCAGAGAAAGTTTGAATTCTCTTTAGCAATCAATCTCTAGACCTGAGCTGCTGAAGCTTACTCCATATTTCATCATCTATTAATGCCTGATGGTTGTACAATCACT